ATGAGATATTGGCTTCACACCTGCTTCCTTAAAGACAGTTTTACGCTATTCGTCTTTTAAAATATCCATTTTCTGTTTCGAACCCAGTGTTGATTTCAATTTGATTGAATAATAATACTGATATATTCTCATCATTGCAAGCGTAAGGGACAAAGCCGAGACACAAATCAACACCAGCGAAGAGGTCGGCGTCGAAAAGCGCTGGGAAAACTTGAAAACGATGTGGAGCCAAACCTGCATGAAAGTTCTAGGTAGAAAGAAGAGGCAGGACAAACAGTGGCTCACTACGGACACTTGGAGACTAATAGAAGAGAGAAGGATGGTAAGACAAAAGATAATCCAGTGCACTGACGAGCAACAATACAGGAGTTGAATTCAAGCTACTATACACTGAACAAAAGAGTGAAGAAGAGTGCCAGAGAAGACAAAAGAAAATATTATGAAACCATGGCAAGTGCAGCGGAACAAGCTGCAGGCAGAGGAGATCTCGCAGCAACACTCTACCAAACAACTAGACACCTATCGGGAAAAAGTTCGACACAGATTAAGCCACTAAAGGATGACAATGAAAAATCAATCACCAAAGAGGTGGAACAAAGAAGACACTAGGCTGAACACTTCGAAAGACTTCTAAATCGACCGCTACCTACAACGCGCCCAACAATACCAACAACGGAGGCAGAACTACCCGTGAACATCGACCCTCCGACGAAATCAGAGGTCCTGAATGCAATCAAGATGCTAAAAACCGGAAAAGCAGCAGGACCAGATGGAATCCCAGCAGAAGCATTGAAAATGGACCCAGAGACAACAGCGAACTTGATGACACCACTACTGGAGAAGGTGTGGAAAGAGGGCAAAGTACCCGAGGATTGGAAGAAAGGATACTTATTCAAACTTCCAAAGAAAGGAGACTTAAGTCAATGCAAACACTGGCGCGGAATTATGCTCCTGTCCATCCCAAGCAAAATACTAAGCCGCATCATCCTGGAGAGAATCAAACAAGCCCTGGATGAAAAACTTCGACCGGAACAACCTGGATTCAGGAGAAAGAAGTCATGTATTGAACAAATCGCCACTCTACGGATCATCATTGAACAAAGCTTTGGATGGCAGTCACCTCTCTATCTCAACTTCATCGACTTTGAAAAGGCCCTCCACAGACAGTGTAGATCGAGAGGTGATTTGGCAACTACTTCGCTACTACGGGGTGCCATCGACAATTATACATCTCATTCAACAGCTATACGACAATGCTGTATGCCAAGTAATCCACAACGGGAAACTTACGGAAGCCTTCGAAGTGAGGACGGGAGTGAGGAGAGGCTGTGTATTATCGCCAATGATTTTCCTGATTGCAGTAGATTGGATAATGCGACAGACAGTGACAAGCAGCGAGGAAACAGGCATAAAATGGACTCACACAAAAGAACTTGGAAGATCTGGACTCCGCCGATGATATATGTCTGATTTCCCACAAACTGGAAGATATGCGAGATGTAAAACGCAGCAGTCTGGCAGAAGAAGCATTAAAGATAGGACTTCAAGTGAACATGGATAAAACAGAGGTGATGAAGATTCCTGGCCAACACCAACAGCAACAACAGCAACAGACAACAATCAGCCAGCATAAATGGGAGGAACCTGAAAGAAACAACCTCCTTTACCTATCTGGGAAGCATGATTGCAACTACAGGCGGAACTGACAAGGATATCAAAGCAGCCAGGATCGGAAAAGCAAGACAAGCTTTCATTACTCACAAGTCTGCGTGGAGGTCACCAGTACTCAGCATGAAAAGTAAGATCCGGATTTTCAACTCCAATGCGAAGTTGGTCAGTGTTGGTATACGGATCAGACAATTGCACTGCGTGTCATAGAGAGCATCTCAAACAAACTTCAGACCTTCATTGACAGTTGACTTCGCTCAACAGGAAGCGGCGAGTTGGTCGTCCAAGGGTGACTTGGAGGAGGTCATGTGAAGAGGAGATGAAAGCATATGGGCAGACTTGGAGCGGGGTGGAGAAGTTGGCAGGAAACAGAAGACAATGGAGGTGCGCAGCTGAAGATCTACGTTCCTCTAGGAATCAAAGGATACAATAATGATAATAATTCTCGTTTTGTACATGAGGGACGCCAGTTTACAGGCATCATCAATATGACAAATTTCATATACGATTAACAATCATACTCAATAATAATATCTTACATACATACATATACATAAATACATATTTTTTCCTACCTGTGTAGAACACACCAAGTTTACAGGCATGGATAAGTATTATTTAAATTACATAAATTTTGGTTTATGGTGAAATTACATGGTTGCTGACGTTTTTGTCTTCGGTTTGTGGGAAGAATATGATAACTAGTCATTCAATGGAGCACACCAAGAAATGCAGAATTATTGTCTTCGCATCAACAAAAAAACCCAAGTATGCTTTGGATGGATTACAAATACTTGGGAAAAAATAAAGCTTGATGTAATTCCCTAATATAACTTAGGTGTGTACAAAACCGAATCTTATTCTTGATTTATATCGGAATTTGGTAATGATTTAAAGTAAATGATAGACTTGTATAGTTTTTTCAGCATTTTCATCGTAACATCACAAGTGAATTGTACTCAAAGTAGAGTTATAATAACGATAGTATATATATTCTGATAAACAGGTGTTTACAAAAAATGAAGGCTACTTTTAAAGATACGATCAGTTATGTTATGAGTTACAACCGTGACGTTGTATTACAAATTGATACTTTTCCATTGGTATAAGCGTATATTCCACGAATGTAATCCAGGTTGCGTCGTGAGGAAAGTTAATTCGTTACTAACTAGGCAACTGAAAGATATGGGACCAATAATGTTTGCAGATCATTTGTCATAGTAAGTGGTCAAGTATCTGCATACATCATTCTCATTCAAAAAGTCGAATGGAAGCTTAAATGGTGAGAGAAAAAAGAAGACAAACAACAGCAAAGCAAAAGAAAGAAAAACGGGTCCTTAAGCAGTGATTAATAGATATATACATATATATTCTGTTTTGTAACTATGGTCATTTTTGTGCACTAACTAACTAGTCTCGTTATGCTAACTTTTATATTATGTGTGAACTAATATTACTGTCCTGTGTAGAGATGTTTATCATCTGGTTCCAATAATATTAAAATTTATAATTGTAGTTGGTTGTAACTACACGTTTAAAGGACTTAAAATATCTGTGTAGGGTGAAAAAGAAGGTGTAAGAGTCAGACGTAGAAGTGCATTGTCATCTTTGAGCAGTTTGGTGACTGAGGAGATGAACACTGGAAGTGTGTTTGCATCGCGCACATTAGCTGGTAGTCTATTCCAAATGACTGGAAACTTATTTAAGAAGAAGTTGTACCGCACGTAGGTCTGACAGTGCTCAATAGCAGCTAGGTTGTGGTGATTTCTAAGACTGTAACTGACGACAGTGGTAGGTTCAGTCACTGGCTAGGAGGAATGCAAGAGAAGATTAGTTAGCTTATAGTAAAAGATAAGGTTTAGATTGAGACGTCTTTTCCAGAAGGGTTCTAATCTTAGTCTTTCGCATCGCTCATGGTATTCCAGACCACTTTCTAAACCAAGAGTTCTTGAGGTAAACTGCTGTTGCACTCTCTCTAATTTAAGCTTGTCATTTTGTCTCAGTCCGCTAAGAATAAATGGGCAGTATTCTAAGATAGGTCGGACACATACTTTGTATAATAAAACCCTAGTTTCACAACAAAAGAAATTGCGTGTTATGCATCCTAGCAACCTTCGTGTTTTACGTCTGGCATAATCAGTCTGTTCTGCGAACGTTAGGTTACTAGAGTATCTAATACCGAGGTCTACGACTGAGTTGAGCTTAGCTAGTTTTCGCCCATTTATTTCAAGAGTTAGATCAAGGTTACTGTTCCCGACACAAATCCAGCCATATTTGTCAATGTTAAAATTTAGACAGGATTCAGCACACCATGTTGCAAGACTACTTAGTTCAAGATATATTTTAGTAATCATATCGCTTAATTCATGAGTGTAGCAGGAGTAGACGATTTTGAGGTCGTCAGCATATAGGAATGGTTTACCTGAGGTGAAGCACTTGCAAATGCTATTAATGTAGACTATGAATAAAAGTTGACCTAGGACACTACCTTGCACAACCCCTCTTGGGATCTACTTAGGATGAGACAATACAGACCCAACTTTGGTTACTTGTACCCTGTTCCTTAGAAACGATTTTAACCAGTTCAGTAATGGGTTGCGAATTCCACATGAGTACAGTTTCTCATAGAGAATACTGTGAGATACTATGTCAAATTCCCTAGATATATCAAAGTAGAGAACAACGACTAGCTTACGTGCTTCGCGACCACTAGTGATGCAGTTGAATAAGTCAAAATGGCAAGTAACGCAGGATCTATTTTTGAGAAATCCGTGTTGGTACCAGTCATCCAACACTAACATATTTATAACGCTTTGATTTCACTTTGATGCTCTTTATCACAATATACACTGAGTTTTCCTAATTTCACAAATGAAGCTAAACCTCTACTCATGAGTAGAGGTTGTTAGTATCAGTTATCTAAAAACCGTGCGCTGACACATAAATTTAAAACCTGAAGAATAATAATGATGCATATTTTCATATAAACACATAAATTTACGTGAGAATGCATGCCATTTTTACAGGCACGACCAAGTAGTGGTGGAAGAATAGTCCTTGTTCACTAAAATGTGTACTCATGAAGTAAAACATAACAAAAGTGTCCAAATAATCCAAAAATATTCGTAATAAAACAAGCGAAATTACTTTGTATGTTGCCATCTGTCAATGTAGTTGAAGATTGAACGATGGCTGAAATTATCCGTAACTTATCAAGGTCATTGGTGAAGTGAGACGCTCAAAGGTCATTTTCGTCCATGTTAGTCGGCCATGTTGGATTGCAGTTCCGTAGCTGTTCGTGTACGCGTTTTTTGTTCCGTTTATCCTGCCGTTATACACGGCTTATCTTGTTGCGTATTGTTCACAAATGGGGGACTCTAAAGAATAGCGGCCCAAACCGAAACGACCTTTTAACGCAAAAATGACCTTGACAGGGACAACTTCGGCCAATGAGAAGACTCAAAAAGAAAGACGCATAATTGTTAAAAACGGTTTATATATAAGTAATGCAATCATAATAAACAGTTACAAAGAATGGCGTTTGCGTATATGTTGCAAAAAAACCTCCCAGTTTCTCATGGGAGTCTTCAAAGTCGTATGAAACCAGTTTCGGCACATAAATTCATCCAAGTAACTGTAAATCATGGGATTTCTCGATCCATTAACCTCTCTTATACGTCTTTTTAGACGACTCCTAAAACTTTCAATGGAACTGGTGTGGGTTCCATCCAAAGGATTCCGGAAACCGTCCGTATGAATAACAACATGATGAATGTACCCATGATTCGATAATTGACGGTATCCACTCCATTCATCTGTATGAATAGTCGTCCCCGGCAACACCAAACGCTTATTAATAGGCACTAATACTGCTGCACTGCGATTAGGAATCGCTTCTATATATACTTTGCGCAGTGTCGTGTCGTAGATACCTAGTATCCACTGCTGGTTTGCTTGTAATCTCCCGCGGTTGTATTTCCTTTTTATAAGTACAGTCTCATCAATATGGACTATGCTGCCAACTCCTCCGAGAACTTGAGTCAGGGTGTTCATTTTCCAGGAGGAAACATCTCTGCAGTAGTTGTACCATTGCACTGCTGACACCTCTGAATTTTCTGTTTCATAAGCTGTAGCTGTGACTGCTCTTTTCAGGACCCAGAAGTTACAGATCATTAAAATTTTCGTCAAAGGTAGTTTAGACCTTGAGAGAAAAGTTCCTAAGGTATCTGTAAACTAAAAAACAACGACAAACCTTCTCGAACCGATTTCTTCTTTCGGCACTCAATACATCTGTATACAAAGCCATCAATGGCCTCTGTGTATTTTTGCATATGCATAACTCCTCCGCATTGGCAAATTTTTGACAAAGCTATCAGTCCGTTATCCAAACAGTAATTGAAAACATGCATGATTACTTCCGCAAATGATACAGTCAGCTGATTCCTGGCTCAAGGTCGCTTTTCTGTTCGAAGGTCGTTTCGATTTGGGCCGCTATTCTTTAGAGTCACCCTGTTGTGCTTGTGTGTACATGAATACATGAACTAAGAGTGCCCGTAATAGAGCCAGTGTTAACATCCATTTGATGGGTTGCAAAACGGTTTTCAAAGCGGATAAAATAGAACGATCTGGTGAGTGTACGATCTATTCCAGTTGAAGGTAAGACATTAATTGGAAAGAATGAAATTTCGGGTTGTAATCTACGATCGGTGATTTCCTCGAAGTTGTGATTTTTCCGTGGCTATAAACACTGATGTCCATGGTCTTTAAAAAAAACTAAATAAATTTTCCTTGAACCAGTAGTCTTCTTTTCTTTGGCGAAATATCCGTTGATACGATTATACGATTAGGTAGCGAAGTAGGATGTTCTGTGACTGGGAATCGTGGTTGTTGTGTTTCTGACTAATTTCGCGCATCTGACTGTTATAACCGCATGGATATAGCGCTTTCCTCACGGTACATTATGATATCCAGAAATCATAAGCAAGCTGCCGTCGGTAAATTTATTTTTACTTTTTAAATCACTGCAAATAGTGAATCGTTTGAGGTGATAGGGTGGATACCTCTGAATTTTTTTGTGGAGACTAGGGTATATTTAATTTTTTGGAGTAGGAGACGATCTTTTCACCGCGAAAGTTCTCAGAATTTCCGCTATTACTTCGTTTTTCAAAGATAACGTTAAGTTGCACACTAAGGTAGTAGCTATAGGAGATTACCTTCAGCAGAAGCCACTTTAAGGTAACTACGTAGCTTTAGGTAATGCATCATAGAAGTAGGCATCGTAGGTTAGTTGTGTCTGAATGTATTGAACGTTGTATAACTGATCAAACCATAGTTCTTACGTACGAGTTACTTTTATAAATAATGAATGTGCCGTACAAGCGTTTACCTTGATTTGCATACCTAGCTCATAAACATATGCCTGCATGTGGCATACATTTAGGGCCAATACGCTGTGATGAATCAGTCCGATGTACTTAAAGTCAGACTTGATTTCCATATCACTGTTATCAATTTTGCAACGGTCATAGGAATTAACACCACCTAACTTTCCTTTACATCGGAAAGTGAAAATAAGTCCGACATTTCGAAGGATTCAGTATAAGAGCATTTTCTGACTCCCAATAGAGAGCTGTTCATCTTAGTACAGTGTAGCTGGCAGTTAACAGACACTAAAATAGTTAGATCGTCGGCGTGCTTGAAAAAGTTCTTTTCGCATGCTTTCGTGCATTAAGTTCGTCAAACAAAAATGCAATTGCTTGGAGGATTTAATCATGAGCTGACATCAGTTGCAATTGGTAATGGACGACTTCCCCCTGACCTACAGTGTACTGCTTTCTCCCTGATAAATAAAAATGAAGCCGTCTAACAATCCAACACTCAGTTTGGGTTTCAGCAAGCTTATCTAACAGAATATCTCTAGGTACTGAGTCGAAAGCCGATGTGTAATCTAGGAAGATGCAGCGAATTTAGCCCCATTGTCTATACTGGAGGAAATGTTGTGAAGCAAGACGGCAGCTGCATCTAAAGTACGTCTACTGTGTTTATAGGAGAACTGTTTGGGATCGTTAAAGGCTCTAAATGAAGATTGGAGATTAAGTAAGAGTAACTTTTCCTTAGTTCTTTTATACGTTATTTGATTCGAAACAAAGGAAGCAGGTCTTATTAACACTTGTAACACTAGACAGTTTGGCATTTTGGGGGGAATTTATGAAAGACTTATTTAGCGTACACACACCAAATGAATAGGGAATACTGGCGGTAATTAGTTGCATACAGGAGTAGGTTATTTAATATCTATATAGTAGATATGGAAATACCGCAGTTGTTGATCATAGAAATGATGGATATTAGATAACATCCTATGATTCAACGGCATATTAGAAATAAATAAAAACTGTTTCTTAGCTCATTGTCAAGTGAACAGTCTATTTGATGATGTCGCTGCATATTAACAGATTAGTGAAGCAGCTATCAAGCCTAAGTTACTACATTTACTTGTACCACATACTTGGCGTTTAACAGTATAGAGACTTGCAACTGGCTAGATAAGGAGACTTTAGCGCATTGAACAGTACAGAATTATTATTCAACTTGCTAAATCCCACTTAGCTTTTACGATGTACTATTGTGTTGGAAGCAGACACGAAATCCTATCAATGACTTAAGTAACAGTCTCGTAATACTACAGTAAATCTCCATCCCACTAACTAAGCTTAACGTTTATTATTCCTAATTCACTTATTACAAAAGCACATAGTATAGAGACCAATTGATAAAGTCCAGAGGAATTACAAATCAAGAGTATATTAGACATTTGGTTAATTTACAAAAGAAAGTCCTGATGAAGGGTTATAACGTTAGTTTGACCGAATGATATTTCCGCTGATTTCATATTCGACAACCTCCGTATACCTGGAAAAATAAAGTACATTTAAGAACTAGCTTAACATGAAGTTAACAAGAGATAATTCTACATATTAGCATATACTATGATTACACTGATTCTGTTAACACTAAGTAATATCTCATACAGACAAATGTATCTGTAGTCTACAGGTGATATTTATGGTGACGCTGTATGCATAAATAGACATCATATGTTTTCCTGTATTTGAGGATTATACGCAAATTTCAAGACAATCTCTGGAACATCCATACTATTGAGGCGTCATTCTTTCAACAAGCTTACTTGCAGATCAACTTCACGCTAAATACTTTTACATGAAATCAAGTATTGCAAATGTATAACTTAGAAATTAATCCACAATCTCAGTAATGTCTAGTCCACAAGGTTTTGTGAATCCTACAGAAATCACATTTTCACATTTAGGAGACTATAGACATCAAATATAAGCTGAACATGCCTGAACTCCAAACAGCTATGCACAGTGTTAACGACATAGAGAAACACTTAAACTATTGTAAAATACGCAGACCTGTTGTGTTGATGAGGATAATAATGTCATATAATGCAAACTAGAAAATTCAATCGTCACAGCTCATCTGTACTGATTTGTCTAAATGGAAATCTCAGGAGAAATTCATCTCCACTATTGGTGATCAAAAATATTGCAGCATTAAGTATACAGTCAGTGGAAACTGTAAAACAGACAATAGATTCATAATAATGATAATAAAGCTGAATAGATTCAGTTCTCATGATCACCGCGACTCATGCGTATAATCATACCGTGTAATGATTTAGCGCATTAATTGGAACAGCAAGGAAACTTAAACGAGTAATTGCCTTTTCCACTGCGCTGTACTGGCAATAATCGCGACAACCACCTTCGTTTGTTATCCTATCAGTCAGCTAAGTAGACAATATTGTCAAGTCAGAGACTTGAAGTCTCGATAGGAGTGGTGTTTACTTTTGCGGGATGGCGTTGCTGGCCTCATGCCTAGTCTTCCCTATTTACCAGTCTTATTGCTGGCTCAACGAGGTAAGGGAGAGTGTCCGCTGGAGGTCGAACCCCTAAACACATATGGTGTCAGTGAGCATGTAGTGACCCATTTTATTATTTGTCATTGAAATTGGATTTTGATTTGTTCACCATTATAAAGACTGTGTGATAACGACTGGAACATTTGAATTGTGACTACTGCGAGAATACACATCCGTAACCCTTCTGAAGTGCTTTTTGATTTGCGTTATGGATGTCGGGTAATCACAACGTTAGGACACCATAATCAGCGCGAAGTACTAGGATATACATGTACGCTAGAGCAACACAACAAGCATTCTACGGCTGTGCCACTACTGCACTAGGATGACACTAAATTTCACACGAAGAAAAGAACTAGGGTGACTCTAAAGAATAGCGGCCCAAACCGAAACGACCTTTTAACGCAAAAATGACCTTGACAGGGACAACTTCGGCCAATGAGAAGGCTCAAAAAGAAAGACGCATAATTGTAAAAAACGGTTTATATATAAGTAATGCAATCATAATAAACAGTTACAAAGAATGGCGTTTGCGTATATGTTGCAAAAAAACCTCCCAGTTTCTCATGGGAGTCTTCAAAGTCGTATGAAACCAGTTTCGGTACATAAATTCATCCAAGTAACTGTAAATCATGGGATTTCTCGATCCATTAACCTCTCTTATACGTCTTTTTAGACGACTCCTAAAACTTTCAATGGAAGTGGTGTGGGTTCCATCCAAAGGATTCCGGAAACCGTCCGTATGAATAACAACATGATGAATGTACCCATGATTCGATAATTGACGGTATCCACTCCATTCATCTGTATGAATAGTCGTCCCCGGCAACACCAAACGCTTATTAATAGGCACTAATACTGCTGCACTGCGATTAGGAATCGCTTCTATATATACTTTGCGCAGTGTCGTGTCGTAGATACCTAGTATCCACTGCTGGTTTGCTTGTAATCTCCCGCGGTTGTATTTCCTTTTTATAAGTACAGTCTCATCAATATGGACTATGCTGCCAACTCCTCCGAGAACTTGAGTCAGGGTGTTCATTTTCCAGGAGGAAACATCTCTGCAGTAGTTGTACCATTGCACTGCTGACACCTCTGAATTTTCTGTTTCATAAGCTGTAGCTGTGACTGCTCTTTTCAGGACCCAGAAGTTACAGATCATTAAAATTTTCGTCAAAGGTAGTTTAGACCTTGAGAGAAAAGTTCCTAAGGTATCTGTAAACTAAAAAACAACGACAAACCTTCTCGAACCGATTTCTTCTTTCGGCACTCAATACATCTGTATACAAAGCCATCAATGGCCTCTGTCTATTTTTGTATATGCATAACTCCTCCGCATTGGCAAATTTTTGACAAAGCTATCAGTCCGTTATCCAAAAAGTAATCGAAAACATCCATGATTACATCCGAAAATGATACAGTCAGCTGATTCCTTCCTCAAGGTCACTTTTTTGTTCGAAGGTCGTTTCGATTTGGGCCGCTATTCTTTAGAGTCACCAGAACTAGGTTGCTGTTCTGTTACTGGTCCCCGTTTTTATAACTAGCACCTTCCGAGTGGCTTGATTGCATATCCCCACCACGACCCTTGTTGCTATGTTGCTATGGTTTTGGAGTGGCCTTGGTTTCGGGGGAAGATTTAATTGATGTAATATTGCGATTTCATAGACACAACTTAGGCTCATAGGTGAAAGAGTGTTATTATTCTGGAATAAGGACAATTGTCCAGAAGGTAAAGAGGGCATCATTTTTCAGTTTATATGTATAAATACTAGGGCGCAGCGAGTTGCACTGAGTCCTAATACAACTGTATGTAACTGCATTTACATAAGGGAAAAGATT